CGTCCCCTTGACTGCCATTTGATCTACTGTGTTTTCATGAATTTCCCCATTCTAGATATTTATATGTGCTTTACTCAGCCATGTCTGAGTCTTTGCAGCCCTAAGGACTGTACCCCACCAGGCTCCTCTGTCTATGGAATTTTCCAGTCAAGAAAGGCTCCTCTGTCCTTAGAATTTTCCTGACAAGTATACTGGAGTGGGTTGCCATTTCCTACTCTAGGAAATCTTCCTTACCCAGGGATCAAAACTGTGTCTCTGGCATCTCTTGCATTGGTAGATGGTTCTTTACCACTAGCACCACCTGGGAAGACATTTATATAAATAGAATCATATCACCTATGGACATGTATATCTGGCTTCTTTCATTTAGCACAGTGTTTTCATAGTGGCTTTGTGTTGGTCTCAGCCTGTCAGTAATGATGCTGTGACTAGGAATATCTGAGATGGGGGCTTACCTGGGCCCCTACTAGTCACAGCCCCCACAGACATTTCACCAATGAGCCATTGCCATGGCTGGACCCATCCTTATGGTTCTTACTGTGATTGCAAGATGCATCTCAGCAACAACCATCAGGAATCTTTGAAAACATAAGGTTTATTACTGAGGATCCTGGGGAGTAGGTGACACACCAGGGTCATACAGCAGAGAGAGAATGAGAATGTGGACTGGGAGTTCTGCCCATATTTGGATCATGGGGGCTTACAGGTTCATTATTTATTGATGAATTTAAGATATAAAGCTAAGGATTAAGGCACAGGAAGGGAAGAGCACAGTTCACTTCAGGGAGCAGTCATTCAAGTCACCCAGGGCTTTCTATGAGGACACCGTTGGGCGGAGGTGGGGTGGGGGGGTCCCATCCTGGCTCTTTATCTAGTTGTGTGGCTAGAAATGAACTTACCCAAGATTGATGTTTAGTCGTGCCTCAGAAATCAGAAGCTTTCAGTACAATCAGGTATTTGCATTATGGTCAAAAAAAGGTAATTGTCGGATACCCATATAGTGTAGTACAGAAGTTCATCATATAGTAGCATTCTTCAGTGCTTCCTTCCTTTTTATGACTAAATAATGTGCCTTTGCATGTATAGATCACTTTTGGTTTATCCATTCATCCATTTATGCTTATTTGGCTGTTAGCAGTCAAGCCATTAAAAACATTTGTGTGCAATCATTTCTAGGTACACAGGCTTTTAATTCTCTTGAGTGTACACCTCGGAATGGGATTGCCAGGTAATACAGTGATTCTGGGTTTAACACCTTGAGAAACTGCCAACTGGGTCCAAAGTGGTTGCTCCATTTTACGTCCCCACCAGCTGCGCAGGAAGGTAAAAAACTTTACTCTTGCATCTTTTTGTCGTGTGCTAGATATCTTGGTCCTTAATAACAGTGATATAACTGTCATGTCCTATAGCAAACACAAGATGGTTTTAAAATAATAACAATTTGTTACTATTAACTAGGATACTAAATGAAGTTCAGTTAGTCTTTATACCTCATTTTATCCAAAGAATACATAGTTAAATACCACATGTTAAGGTCAGATAGAAAACTGATTGTCTCTTGTAGTTTTTTTTCCAATTACATAAACAAAAATGTATTTGTTGACATTTATTTTCAACTTCAGGGATTGCCCTCCCTCCTCCTTTTGATCATGTAGCATATTTACATGATTCAAAAGTAGAAAGTGTATAAGGGTGCATTCAGACAAGCCTCCATCTCTCCTCCTTCCCTCCTCCCAAGGTAACCTAAGTTTCTAGTTCATCTTCTCAGTGATTCTTTTGGAAGTAAAGATACACACAGAGACATAGCTGATCAGACTCAATGCTAAGCCTTGTCAGGAAGCCTTTTTTCTGCCTCTCACCCTGGGTTTCCCAGAGCTCAATATGCCGTGTTTCACTCATTGTTACACCATGTATTTTGTTGTTAAAGTAACTTCTGAAATGAATTCCTCTGACCCTTCTCTCTGATTGCCTAATGCCTTTCTCTCCTCCCTTTTCTCCCCTCTCCCTCTAACCCTCTGAAGCTCCTTTCTGTTGTTTCTCTCTGTGCCCGAACCTTTTTTTCTCACTTCTCGTGCTGATCACTTGGGGCTTCATTTCCAGCAGCTTTCCCTCTCAGGGAAGACCCAACCTCCTATGAGGGACTGTTTGCCCATTATTTCTCAGACCATTGTGTTCCTAGATGGCCACGGCACTGTTAGATCATTTAGCAACTTTGGGAACATCTTTTTTAGTCACCTGAAGCCCTGAGCCTGAGAGGCTCAGATTCCACTTGGGAGCTGCTCTCCTCTTGGGGATGCTCGTTAACTGGTGACTTTGGAGGTCAGCAGCCTGTGGCCCCCACTCCCTCAGTTGTACTGTTAGGTTGCATCTGCCTAGATTCTGAGGTTTGTGGGGAGCCCTGTCACTTGGGTCTGTTTTTCTGGCTGTGGACATCTCTGACTTCTTCTTTTACTATTTCTGTAGGCCTCTTGTTTTTATTGGGACATTAAAAGACTACACTGCCACCCTGATCTCATCCTACTCTCAATGTTTCCCAACAAACAGTAAGACTCAGTGAGAGAGATTAAATGAGTTGTTCGTGGACATCCAGATATTGAGAGAAGAAACTCTACTGAAACACAGATTATTTCATCCAAGATCTATTTCTGGTGTGCACCCACCTAAAGCAGGGTCATTTACTCCTTAGCACCTGGCATCATGTTCTTCATAACTGTCTGCCTGAAACTGTTTAAATCTCAGTGTGGTTGCTGCTCTTTCAGGGTTCCTGGGGGCCTGTGCAGAGTCTGTGTGGGGGGCTGTAGTCAGTGTGCTGGGCTCCCTAGTTCCATTTCCTCTCACTTCTGCCCCCCAGCAGCACTGACCACAGTCTGGAGAACCCCTGGCGCAGCTGGGGTGAGTGCAGTCACCAGCAAAAGAGACCAAGGTTAGAAATGTGCTCTCAAATGCGTGTTTGCTCTACAGGTGCCACCTCTCCAGGAGCGAGACAGTTCATGCAGTGCGAGCAGAAAGCATCAAGGTGAAGAATCCACCTTGCGTCAAGGGAGCCCTGACCAGAGGCCTCTCCTTGGAGGACCCCGGTAGGGGCCCAGGAGACCTGGGACAGCGCAGGTCCTGGAGTGGCTGCTTATTTCCCAGAAGCAGCCGAAAGTCAAGAAATCCTGGGTGAGTCCTTGTTTATTTCCACTTCTTTTCTTTATTCCTCTTTAATTTTTTTGGTGGGGAGAGGTCCTTAGATGGGAGCATTTAGTTAACTTCTCCTTAGGTCGTGGAAGGTCCCTGAGGTCCCTGTTTCCTGGTTTCCCCAGACTTGATTTTTAGCTTCTTCTCCACTCCCACAATTTTAAAATGCATATTGTTCTTTTTATGTGTGTACAAAATGTGTATTTTTGTTGGTGTGAATGCATTTTTAATTTATGTTCATGGCATGTACACATGTGTCTCCTGCTCTATTGCTTATATTTTTTGTTAAGTACTTTGTTTCATTAAGCACCATCCTCTTATATGGCCATAAGCAATGTCTAGGTGTCCACTTGCCTCACATTCTCCACGAACTACTGTTATTCCTTTTTTTTTTAATTGGAGGGTAATTACTTTATAATATTGTGATGGCTTCTGCCATACATCAACATGAATCAGCTATAGGTATACATATGTCCCCTTCCTCCTAAACCTCCCTCCCGCCTCCCTTTGCCTCCCATCCCTCTAGGTTATCACAGAGCACCAGCTTTGGGGTCCTTGTGTCATATAGCAAAGGACTCCCTATTACATTTTATGTATTTAATCTTTGCTTTTCTCTGCAATGCTGAACACTTCTTTTAGGCAAGACTGTCTTTCATCCATTTTATATTACCTAACATAGTTGAATACCTGTGTCGACTAAAAAAAAGATATACAACTTGAGAGTTGTGAGTTAAGGTTTATTTGGGGCAAAATGAGGACTGCGGCCTGGGAGGCAGCATCTCAGGTAGCTCTGAGAGATGCTCCAAAGCGGCAGTGGGGGAACGTCAATATACAAGGTTCTGGTGAAGGGAGAGTTCAATACCATGAAGCACTCAATTTACAAAAGGATTATTGTTAGTCATGAGGGTCTGATGTCACCATGAAGGGATTTATTGCTTCTCTAGATATGAGGAGATGCAAGAACTGAGATCATAAAATCTGTTTCTAAAAACATCCAACTATCTAAAGACCTGTCCCACCAGATTCCCTTGAGCACAGAGTGCTTCACTCCACCTCAGGGGTTGTTGAAGGTCAACAGCTATAGCAGCGTGGGGTTCAATCTCTGCAGAGGCAGATTTCAAATGCCTTTGTTGTTCAGTCTTCGGCAATGCTCTTGGTAAGTGCCAATTTGTAGTTGACACCTGGCACATGCTATTATATGTTTAATGAAAAGTTAACTGATTTAATGCATATTGATGGGATATTTTCAATGAATGTTTGCTTTTTCCCAAAGCAGAATGTAAATAATTGGCTCTCTTGGCAGCCGTTTGTTTACTCCAAACTCAGTAAAATGATTTGAGATTGAATGGAGATATGCTTTTTTCAGGGACCATTGTCATTCATGGTTGTGTTTGTGGACTTTACTTGGGAAGAGTGGCAGCTGCTGGTCCCAGCTCAGAAGCACCTGTACAGGAGTGTGATGTTGGAAAACTACAACAACCTGGTGTCCCTGGGTGGGTAATGCCTCCCTGAAAGGAGTATGTATAATCTCCAGGCTTCCCCTTCTTGGTGGCTGAAAGCTGGGGCACTTTTGTAAAATACTTAATGATTTGGGGCTTATATTTAGAGGTCAGATTTTCTTATTCTCCCTTTGACATCAGAATACACTGGTTGAATGGTGTTTACTTTGCCAAATGCAAAAGAGCAGCTTTATCATGCCACCTCTAAACTGAGTCTTCTGAATCCTCCCTGTTCTTCTGAATCCCTGAGTCCCAGGAAGCCTTGGTCCAGGTTGTCTGTGATTTTCCATTCACAGGGTATCAACACACCAAACCCAGTATCATTTTCCACTTGGAACAAGAAGAGCTATGGATGATGCAAATCCTGAGTCAGGGCCATCCAGGTGAGTGACCAGGACATTTAGCTCCTTCCTCAGAATTGCTGTGAGTTCTTATATGATGTTTCCTTTGTGTTTGTGTTTTTGTGTTATTTGTGACCATTTTCTCTTCATGCTCTCTTTTCTGGCATTCTCAGCTTCCTTCTTTCTTTCTCGGGGTGATAGACTCATTTCATCCTGCATTTAAGCAGCTTTTCCTCTTTACTTCACTGGATGTGACTTTCACACCTCTTCTACTTTCTCTTTTTTTAAAATTACTCACATTCATATTTAACAACCACAGGTCCAGTTTCCTTCTCCTGGAAACCTGTTAGGAGATTCCACCCCTCTATTCCTCCTTGCTTGTCACTCTGTCATCACTGTTTTTTCTGAGGTTATTCCTGCCTCATTTGATGATACTAGTTATCTTACCTGAAGCCTTTCCCTCTCTCCACACTCAGGTGACACTCCACTGAACACCCTCTCACACTGCATGATAGAGTGCTTATTCTTATGCTTTACTGACCTCACTTGCTCTTCTCTCTGAGTCCAAAGGGGTCTTTTCTATATTCCCTATTTTTGTCATATGTTTTAAGTTTTAGCAGACTCTCACCCTGAAGATTTGAGCTCTTTCTTTCTCTGTTTGTGACTGACAGTCCTGTCTACCTTTCATCTGCCCTTCGGCACTGGGTTTAATTGGTTCACAGGGTGTCTCCCCTACATGGGCCACTCCATTGTCTAATTTTTCAGAAACTGGAATTGAAATGTCTCTTCCCTGCCCCATAGCTGTATGATAATGTCTTCTTTCCTTCCTAATTGTTAGTTCTGCTGTGCTTTGAATTCTTTTTCCTGACACTGGAGAGTGGGCTTAAAACTCCTTTATATGCAGTTGTCTTCACTAGTCTTGTTATAATCTGCCGTATCTTGCTCCTTTAAAAATAAGTCTTTTAAAACACCATCTTCTCAATTCCTACCCCCAACAAGGCTAGTATTATTTCATTTCTTGCTTGTTCTACTTACCAGCCAAATTTATAGCTTTTACTCTTTTTATACTATTAGTTTGTCCTGAAGTGACTGTCAGATATGTTTCCCTAAGCAGCTATGTATTTTTTAATAAATGTGGCAGGGTAAATCAACGGTAAATCTTCGTATTATTAGGATTGTTTCACCTGAAATTTTTTATTAATCCTGAATGAACCTGTTTAAGCAGAAGTGATTTATTACTACACATCACAAAATGTCTTAACATGGAGCAGCTCTAAGGATGACTAAATCCTTAGTCATTGCCTTACTAAATCCCCGAAGGTCTGTCTCTTCCTTGCCATTATAACTATGTCAGTATTTTCCTCAGATTAACTCCCTCATGGTCATCAGATCATTACAGATCCGCCTGACACCCGCAGATATACCAGTGGCCAGTGGGGCAAAAAAGACTGTTCCTTCCCATGTGGCCCTTTTTTTATCAGACATTAAAATCTATTTCAGGAAGCCCTAGCTGACTTACCATGTTTAATAGGCTAGATTTTTATCACCTACCCTGTCTAAAGAAGACTCAGGCAAGGGAAATGAAACCATCACTGTTGGCTCAGATAAATCATGCTTCCCCTTCAGCAGCGGGTATGGAGATGGGTCTCCAGTTTCCTAGCTGAAGCACATGGCCTTACAGATGGAGGTAGGACATAAAATCAGATCTCGGCCAACCAGGAAAAGGACAGCAGAACTGTCAGGTAGGCAGCACTGTACACCTTCATCTTCCTCTTTGGTGAGTCACATCCTTCTTTCCATCCATCCACCTTCAAAAATATCCTATCATACCTCTATCCATTCTTAATCATATTAGTACAAGTCTAGGATTATTGTTTCTAATTAGACCTGGTGGTGTGTCTTCATGGTCTGGTGATCTATAATTAAAGATAAGTTATCCACATACAACTAGCCAGACAGGCTGAGTGGTAGAGAGACGTACAGAATGGTTACAACAGGAACTTTGTTCTGGGAGAGCAGCAGCGGAACCACAGGGAAGCCACTGATTACAGTGCATTGGAACTGGGCTGCGCAGGCTGTTCCAAGGCTTCTGCCGTGGCTGTGGCCTGGTGAGCCCCGAGTTCTTCTCTCTTAGCCTGAGTTCCTCTTCCTTTGTCTTCTGTAGCTAAACTCAAGATGAGCCACAGCCAGTAATCATGTTTAATATAGTCTTGAATCATGTTTAAACAGTTTTCAGTCTTGTGAATTCCTGTCTTCTGCTCACTGACTCTGGTATTCTGTGTTTATTTCTTGAATTCTTTGTGTCCCTTGAGATACCAGCAATGATCTGATTTTCTGGAATTACTGTTGCAAAAAAAAAAAAAATGCTCCATAGCAAATTCATTAGATTTCCTGGGAAATAAAACGAAGGAAACCAGAGATGTGAGAACCAAGGAAAAACAAGGAGTGTGGTGCTAGCAACAGAAAGATTGGAAGGGTAAAGTATAGAAATTGACAGATTCAGTATCCATGAACTTTGACGTCTACAGTAACATCACTGACAGCCAAACGTGAGCAAATCTGATTCAAGGGCAAAGATGAATTACTCACTGGCCTGGTTTTTCCTGATGGAAACATTTATGACTTTAAGACCATTTAGTTGACAGTAATACTCCCTTCAAAGCCATTATAATAGTCAAACATGCTCATATTCATTTCTCGGTACATGGGAATGGATATTGTCCCAGTTGGAAATCGGTGTTTAGGAACATATAACTTGGACGTTGTGTACAAAGTGAGTAAGAGAGTTCAAGTTTAGGCTTTAGAGGAACCTGTAATGAGGTATTAAGACCCTGTGATATTGCAGTTTTCAAACCTGACCTGCTTCTGTCTTCTCTCAATACCCTGTTCTGTCCATCACTTTGGTCAGCATGTTACTTTGAGATACCTAGGTCCACTTAACCCATTCTCTCTTCTCTTCAGCCTCCAAATATTTCTCATTGTGCCTGAGGACTTAGTCCTGTGTCTTACTCTTTATTTATTTTGTATATTTGGAATTTGACAGCAGTGCGGGATGGTTAATGTTTAACCAGTGTCTGTTCACCTTGCCCCTCTGTTTTTCATTCCTCTTGGAGAAAAACAATTTCACCTCTTAGCCCTTTCTTAGTGAATTTTCCTCCATGATTTCTGAATAACCAGCGCTTATTCTGTTGTACCTAGATTTTCTCCTAATTACTCAGTGTAAAGGATAGATTTAATTCTCTTTCATCCTCCTCCCCTCATAGTCCTCATGATATACACACTGTCTTCTCATACCCACATGATCCTAATAAAGCTACTTTATGCTTTTGCTTAGAACAGTCTTCAGTTTTTGCATCTTCATGACTATGTAATTTCCATTCACAGGCAAATCATACAAGTGTACAGTTGTTAGTTTTCATTCATAAATCACTTTTTCTGTTGAGTTGTTTTACTTGCCTTTCCAGTTTTCTCTGTTATTGCTCATATTTTTAATTAATTTAGCCCCAGATTCTTCTTCACATGTTTAAATATTCTTTTGGTACATTCAGCTAAATTAGTGATTCTGTCAATTTCATCAGCTCATATTTTTAATTAATTTAGCCCCAGATTCTTCTTCACGTGTCTAAATATTCTTTTGGTACATTCAGCTAAATTAGTGATTCTGTCAATTTCATCTTCCTGGTGACATCACTCCCAGGTCTTGTGACTTCCTCTGGTGTAACCTAACTTTTCTCACCACCTGGTTGTACAGTTTTTATCCTGAAATCTCCTTTCAAATTTTCTGGGTTTTTTTTTTTTTATGGTGTGTGTCCTCTTTTTTCTAGATTTGTTTTGTTGGAACATCTCTCACAGTATCTTCCTGTGAAAGGGTGCATTTGATATAAATGTTGGACCTGAACCTCTGAAAATGTTTATACTTTACTCCTGAATGCTCTGTTTTCTTTATTCTACTGATGCCAGTGAGAAGTTAGATCCATTGTAAATTTTGATTTATTATATGAAACGTTTTTGGTTTCTCTGGAAGTTTTACTGGCTGCTGCTTGACAGTGTTCTGAAACATCATGATGATGTTTCTTGTGAGTTTATTTTCATCTATTTGGGTATTCAGTGGACCTTTATTCCCTAGAGGAGTGTAAACCAATCTGCAATGGTTCTGCTCTTTCTCCTGAGCTTAACAATATTTGGCAAATAATAGGTATTTAATAATTATTTGTTAAATAATTCTAGTGCTTAGAGATCTTTCCCACTTTATGTTTTCCTCATTTTACCTTGTGCTTTCTAAAAAAGGTATAGTACAAAAATTTGAAATTCAAGACTCTATTTATTGGCAGTTCCCTATGCCTATGTTCATGTTTTGAGTTGCTTTGTTTTCCTCAGTGTCCAGGAGTTGTCCAGGTACCAGTTGTCCAGTACTCCAGACACTGGAGTCCAGTGACCAGTGTCCAGGTACCTTAACTCTTGAGGTTTTATTTATGTTCAGAACTGATATCAGAAACTAAGAAAAACCTCATGACATGGCATTTTTAAGGTAATTTTATGCTATACCAAGATCATGTTACTATTCACAACATGAGTATTTTCATTTCTAGATAAAGTCTGGGAAATTAATGATTGTATGGAATGGCATCAGGAAAATTAAGGCAGAAGACTATCCTTGTACTGCATTTGGAAAACTATTTTCTTAGTGAAGATTATATTTCTTCAAGACAAAGACTTCATAAATGTGTCACAAATGGAAAGAATTTGAAATATAATATAGATTTTAGTAGTAATTATGCTGGAAAGAATCCTAATGGGTTTTGTGTACAGAGAGAATCACCCTTCCATTCTAAACATGAACAAGATATTATTGGCATAAAACACTGTGAAAGTATTGAATCTGGGAAAACTGCCAACAGAAAGTCATAGTTCATTTGCCAACAAATGCATATAGGAGGAGAGCCCTTTGACTACAGTTCTTGTGAGAAGGCGTTCAGTAGCAAGTCATACCTTGTGGTGCATCAGGAAACTCATGCAAAAGAAAAGCCTTACAAGTGTGATGG